CCGCCGGCCGCGCCCCGCTGTGACGCGCCTGGAAGATATCGGCGTTGTTTGGTGCCTCCTTGTGTCGTGGAATCTGTCTTCGTAGCACCATACCCAAGCGGGTTGTCTGTGCGGGGCCCGCGGAGCAGGGCGCATATTTGGGGGCTGCGGACCCAGTCCACTGCTGACATGGCCGACGGTGCAGCCCTGCGAGATTGTGCTGCGGTGGGCATGCGCACCTGTTTGAATTCTTGCATGGGTAACTGCGGAGCTTTTATCTGCCATCGTCGCATGTGGGGTCGGATGCCTGGTGGTCGGCGTGGGGAGTCGTGGGGAGTCGGGAGGGGGTTGGAGGGGTGGGCTCGGCATTGTTGCAGGCCACACAGTGAGCACCTGAGCGAAGGCCATTGGGGCTAGTTGGGAGACCAAGGCCATTCATTCTGCAGTAAACTTGCTTGGTAGACGTATTGCCTACCCCACCTTTGTTTCAGTCGCTCATTGTTTTCGAGTGGAGTCTTCGCAACGATCTAACTGGCTTCTCACAGCTTGCCTCCGATACCGACACGAAACTCACGTATATTTAAGTCGTTAGGGAAGGCCCGTGGATAGGGGCACTTCCGGCGATGAGGCTGCACCACCAGCAGCACCCGGGCGTGTGCGCCTCCCAAAGGCTCGTGGCACACAGGCCAGTTCAAAATGGTCATCGTAGTATCTCGAGAGCCAGGCGCCACCCAGCGGCAAGCGTGTTGCCCCGTCACCTGGAGAGCAGCAGCGGCAGCACGCAGCATTGCGGCGCCGCATCAACGCCCTTCAAGGCGGCTACGAGCAGCCCGTTCCGCCCGCTCCCGCAACGGCGGCAGGGCGGCCGCGGCCTCACCCTGCCGACGCGCGCGGCGCCTAGCGCCCTCACCCCCCTCGGGTGCGGTCACGTGCATTTTTGAACGTCCTTGGACGTGCCCCTGCCGGCTTCCTGTCTGCACCCCGCCTCGAAGCGTGCCGCAGCGGCCTGCGGCGCCGCCGCGCCCCTCTGCGCGATCTCATCGCCCAAGCTGTCGCCACTGCAGGTTTGATTTCCTCACCTTCCTGGCCAGCACGGTGGCGATGGTCCCCGTATGCAAGTCGCTCAAGGCGAGCGGGCACCCCAGCACTTGGCAGCCGCACCCCTACCCGCCGTTGCCGTGGGACGCCTAATGGCGG